CATCTTCCAACCAAGAAGGAATCAGATAGACCCTGCCTTCCATAGCCTCCTACTTTCAATCAACCAACGAAACACTTCAGGCACTTCTTATAAGTTGGATCTACCTCGTCCTCTTCGTAATCTAAGCGGCAAACCCCTTCGCTCAGCACCCAAGGCCATCCACAACCAGTGTGCCAAGTTTTCGGGTCTGACAGGGGGTTCACCAATGGACTTGGACGATGAGTGATCCTCGAAACTACATTCGAAACAAATTTTGGAAGCAGTGCTTTGCGAGCTTCCTTTCGAATCTCAGGCTTTAAAAGTTCCAGGTCAAGCGCAAATCCGTCTTGCTGCAAGGATTGCTCAATTCGATCCTCTTGCAAGCTCACTGCTTCTTCTAACCGATTGACCTTTCCAAGAACCGACGACACGCATTCCGTGAGCTGCATCTCATCCCGAAGCTTCAGGGAGTGTTCAGCGTTTTCCCCCCAGGATTCCTCGATGTATTGCCAAGTGACTTGACTAGAGTGTCGGGCGAACCACTGTATGGAGTTGAAAGTGCAACCCTTTCTAGCCATTTCTTTTATTCCAGATCTTCGCATGAAGTGGCCAGTGATGCGCTCAACGGCAATGGCTTCATTCGGATGCTCATTCAAATAAATGCCCACCTGTCTCTGTGCTTCCATCACCAGCTGATCCTTCTCAACAAAACTTGCCGAGTCTTCCACTGTGCCTACCAAGGGAACAACCCCGGGCGCGACCATACCGCGGTCTTCGATGCCAAGCAGCTCACATTGCAGCTCTGCTAGCTCTTTCACCGCGTGGAAAGGGCACAACCAGTGACGAGAACCTTTGCAGCTGCAGCCAAGTGTTCTAGCCGCTCCCCGGCCAGAAGGGTCACTTTTGCTAACCGGCAGCTTCAAAGTGACCGTGAGCGCTGAGTTGTTGAGTTCCAAGCAACCGCAATCCAGGGTGAGCGAAGCCAATTCAACCTCACGTAGGACGAAGGCTGCCCCAACTACCCAGACCAAAGCCCCTCCGTTCGGGGCCCTCAACGATGCATCATTGCTGACTGCGCACGAGCCATGCCGTTCCAGCAAGTCCTCCCAGACATACGATCGCACCTCTTCTGACCTGATCGTAGGTCCAGCAGCCCTCTCAGCAACTCTTTTCGCATCTTGCACTGCTACCTGCAATTGGGGGTTCCACTCATGCCCGGCTCGCAAATGTCTGTCGCGAGCCTCATACACATAGCTCTTGGCTGCCTTGTAGCCTGCGCTCCTGAGGATCGCCACATTCTCCCTGATCTTCGCGGGCGTCAGCGGCAACGGGTCCTCTTGCTTAGCTCGACTAATGCGGCACCAAGTTCCAAACAAGGATTCCTTAGCCAGGCACGAACCAGGAGCGTACACCAAGGCGTCATACGCCAATAGCGCTTCTCACCTCATCTGACTGCTGGCAGCAATTCTCTCTGCCAATTTGGCCTGCCCTCTGACTGGCCTACGCTGTTGCTCCATAGGCCTCCACGGGCCATCAGCTCTTGCCCTAGTCAAAATTTCTCCGCTGTGCAAAATCAAATGTCCACTCACTTGGTCCGTTCTGCTATCGTGAGTGCCCTGCATGCACGAATTTGCTTGCCTCACTGGCGATCTGGATCTTTCTACCACTGAAATTCCTGCAGCCGCCAGCTTTTCTCTAGCCTTGGCAACCGCTGGTGGAACCTCATCGGTGCACAGCCCTTCACGCTGATCGCATGGTCTAGATCCTCCCTTTCTAAAAGGGTTCCGCGTCCAACCCGTGAGCATTTGAGTAAGGACAAGCTGCAAAGGGGTCAGAAGGGCAAGTCAACTCCGCAACCGAGGTAACGCACTAGAATGGTTCCACACGAGCCAACCGAAAAGGGGGGAAACTTCGATTTACGAGGGAAACCACCCGTGCACACCTTTGCTGGAGCTACCTACTAAGTAGCTCCTGGCCCACTAAGCCCAAGATGCAACCGCCTGCCGACTAAGCAGACCATTGCCAAGATGCAACCGCCTGCCGACTAAGCAGACCATTGCCTGCCTGCCCACTAGGCAGACCCCCTACCCACTAGGTGGTACCTAACCAACCAGAAAGCGACGAATTACCCAAGAAAAGGAGGCCCCAACTCCTTCCCCCTGACTCCGTCGCCTCCGAAGTGCTAGGATGTTTTGCGCACACCGCCTTAGCGCTCTGGCCAGGCCCTGTAGTATGCACGTGATCGTGCCGGCACATTGACCTTAGGTACATTGCGCAGCACCGCTGGCAGCTTTGCAGTCTGAGGTCGACTGAGCTGGTCAGGCACGAAATTCAGCGTACCTGGGAGATGCTGTGGGATCAGGTGGATCACGTTCTGACTTTCCATCTCTAAGAAAATCTCAGCTGCCAGCTGAGTCATGATGGGACTGGATGCCTTGTAACTGAAGGCCGTCCGCAGAGCTGAGGTATTGTCGTTCCTCAGCACGACTCGTTGTGCCCCCCGTTCATGGGTCCAAGGAGCGAACTCTTTCAGTGCCACAAAGATTGCCAACAGCTCATACTCCGTTTGAAAGGACGGGTTGCCGGGCACTGAGTTGAACAACTGATAGTCCTGTTCATGCAGCGGGTCACTGATGTACGCCAGGATCTGCTGTCCCGAAACGATGATTGCTCCCAGCCCCCATGGGGAAGCATCTGTTTGTATCATCACCGTGACAGCCTGCGGTCGCCAGCAATGCAGTTTGCACAGACCAGGTTCGCCCGGACGTAAACGCAACAATGCTTTCAACCATCTCAAGGCATTTGCAACTTGTTTTGCGAAAATGAGGCCCTTGCGACGTCTGGTGGTAGCCTTGGTTGGCTCTCTAACACTTGTCAGCGCAGCCCACAGCATAGCCATCCACGGACGCGCAGCAGGAATTGCTGATGATAGCCAGCCCAGAACACCCACAGCATATTGCACAAGATGCAACGGGATCATGCCATGATATTGTTCCAGCTGCTCAAACACATCCAGGAGCTTTTGCTTCTTGCTTTCTGCCAACTCCACTTGCATATCCAAACTGTCTGGTCCTGTGACCGTCAGTTGAAATCCAATCCACTGCAAAGTCTGACCCCGCACGACTTTCTTCCATGAAACATCCAGACCTAAACTTCGCCATAGGCCTGTGTAGCAAAGCAAATGTCTAGTGCGCTGTTCCGTGGATTGGGCAACTGAAACAATCAAGGGGTCGTCGATGTAACAATGCACATCTGTCTCCCATGCTTGCATGACTGATTGGCCAAGGCGCATTGCAGCTGCAGCAACTCTTGACCACACAAGTGGCCCTGTTGCCACACCAAACACGACGCAGGAGCTAACATAGTATCTTTGTCTTCCCTTGTCGTCTGGTAGCCCTTTCATGACCACGAACTTCCTCTCATCAGCTCTCAGCTGAAGCATATTGAAGGCATCTTTGAAATCAAGGGCAAACAACTCAATGTAATATCCCGGAAACCATTGACTGTTGTTGCTTACCAACTGCAAGAAACCTTGCGCAACATCCGATACCCTTGGCAACGTTACACGCTCCCTGCAAGTTATACGACCGTTGACCCCTGACCTCCTGCCGTCAAAAATCAGGCGCGACTTGACTGCGCCGTCCTCCTTCAGCTTCACCAAGCAGCCTACTTTGGTCAGTTGTGCCTCCGGTCCGAATGTGTTGCAAACTTCCTCCCAAGTGTGCAGCACTGTGGCCCTGCCTTTGTCAACCATCTCGTCCAGCAAGAGTTGTGCCTTATCCGAACTATCCTTGAAACTCTTGTAGTTCTCAAGATCTCCCATGTGGTCTTCAAGCACAACTCCTTCTATCCTGGACGCGGTCACTGCTGCTGTGTCACCATCTGTCTTTGGGAACACCTTTGTGTAATCAATGTCACAAACAATGCCAAGCGGGAAACCTTGCTCCATCCATCGCGGCAACACCTCCTGCTCCGGGTCCTGTGCCGCAGTCAACAATGCTTTCCACAAATCCACTGGCCATTGTTGCGATGACCCTTCTGTCACAAACTCAAGCCTAATCATCTGCTGGAGCCTCCGGACCTCATCCTCAGGTATGCCTTGATGCAGCTCTGCCTGAATGGAACGCACGAGTTCATCGTTGATCCATGCATCCAAAGCATTCCGCAACTTCTCACCTGCTAGTCTCAAAGGCGTGGATCTTGCAACAGCTCTCTTTGCGAACCGTAGCCCCCCCAAGGCTTCTCTGTTCTCTCTTTCCCTCTTTTCCAGCAAAGTCTCCTTCATGGACTGGTCATCTGCCTTACGCTTTCTGTCCAGCCTCTCCGCCAAAACGAGGGTGTTCTGCCATCGTCCCACTTTGACGAAACTGCGCTGGTTGATCCAGCTATGTCCCACATCTGACTGCAGCCAATCCAACAATGCTCTGGTCCATGCAATTGTCAACCCACACGGATACTCTGCAGCTAATGAAGTCCTCCACACATATTTATCTTCCTGAAACGACCAGGCCATGCCCACTAAGCCGCCCTTCAAATGGTAGTGCAATCTGACTTGATGGCACAATGCACAAACCTTCTTCATCCAGCTTGCATTAGTGAGAATGCCTGTAGCTTTCGGCGTCAATGCTCCATACGGGCACTGATGCAGCATCACCAACTCGACATCCGGCAGTCGAAGAAGCTGCACTAACACCTTCAGCTGCCAGATAAAGGAATGCCATGGGTTCTCCACTGAAAAGGTCCTCTTTCTTGCAACTAGCCTCAAAATCATCTGCACCATCCTCTCGACGATCTTGTTACCTTCTTCAGCTTCTGGATCACCCCAACCCTCTGGGTAGGCTTCTGACCTCAAGATTCTCGCCACACCGAACTCATCTGACCTGCGAGCTTTTGTCAGCGTCCTGCATGGAGGGGCCATATGGCCGTGATCAAGCTCATCGCATAAGTCCAGTCCTCTCTGCAAGCCTTCGTCTGTCAAAATGTCCCAGCCTTCAAATCCGTCAAGGGGCGAGGACACTTCAACCCTTCCACTGCCCAGCTCTTCGACAGTCCTCGAAAAGCCTCCAAGAACTCACCAAACTGAAAAGCTCTTTGTTGTGGGTTGTTGTTGAATTCACTCTTCTCATCAACTGAATTCGACCATGCTTTCACCTCCGGCTCTGAAGGAAGTCCCTCCACAGCCACAGGTGACTCCTCTCGTCACTTCCTTCCTCCGCCTTTCTTGCCCTTCCCAGATCCCTTCACATTGCACTGGGAATTGGGATGGGCACCAAGACAGTACTGGCATAGATGAGATCGCTGATTTTGACACGGTTCCGGGCATGCTCCCAGCGCGCCTTTGCTGAATGCAAAACAGATCTCATTGCCTTCCCTGTCCGTCACAAACTCACGTCCAGCCTTGCGAGGATGACCACCACCATCTTGGGTCTTGTTCTGCCCTTTCGACCAAGCTCGGCCCTGGTTCCATGGTGCATCACCGAATTTCAGCTTCCTGTGATCTTCCTGCAATGCCTGAATCTTGTTCTTGTCTCTGTGTCTGCGTCTTGCCGCCTTCGACTGTCCTTCACCTGGAGCCCTGCGCATCGCCGACGAAGCCGCCTCCGAGTATTGCGAATCCTCAGCCTCCTTCTTAGACATGCCTCCACTCTTCCCAGCACCACCTCGCGCCAGGAATGTCTGTGCAGGCCGGACAACTGTGCGATCCCAATACTCCTGACAGCGTGCAGCATATTGAAACACTCCAACCCACGGGCGAAACGGATCAAAGTCCAGGTTCATTGGCAGCCGTCCTTCATTCTTTGCTCTGATCAGCTCACGATGGTATCGATCAAACTGCTCACCCCGGCACCTGTCTTCTGCCTGCATCACTAAATGCCAAGCCTCAGGGAACTCTTCATTCAACTCAGCAATCCGATTGAAATATTCCTCCAAAGCTGCGACTGTGAATACATGCTCTGCCGGGCGATGTGCCACTGGATTTGCTGGGTGCTTGATCATGAGCAACACTGTTCTGTATATCTTCCAACAAGCGGCCCATGCACTGTATGTCGGCGGACCCGGAATTTCAACTGTCTTCCAAGTCCCATCAGCTTGCAGAAGAAAGTTTCGAGCCTTTGCCTGTTTCTGGGTGCGTCTGCCATACGGTGTCAGCACTGAAAAGTCAGCGTATGGAGCTTCCTTCCTCTTCAGGACCTTGGTCACCATGGCTGTAATCTGCTCAACTGTTGGATCTGCATCAGGCATTGGCTCAGCACCTACCGCTTCACGAAAGTTGATGTATGCAGCATCAATATCTGCTGTAGTCAGCAGTTCAACCTCCGTCTCGTCCAGCTGATCGACTGCTGCACTCATCTTCACTTTCTTGGTAGGTGAGCCTCCTGCAGATGGGTCTGGTGCTCCTCCACCTCCACCTAAACTGCCTGATGTAGATGTCATAACTACATTCGGGTCCACAACTAATGGATCAATGTCAACAAGACCAAATGCTAATCGAGCAACACGCCAAGTCAACGCAACCTGAATGGTCTCCACGGCCGACAATGGGCGGTCTGTACCATCCGTGAGTGGCATTCGCGTGCTTGTAGTGGCATCAGACAAAGTCTGCGGGGGCAGGGTCGCCAGAACACGCAGTTGCGTGCAGCCCCCAAGGGTGTTGGAGAACTCACGCCAAACCCCGGTCGGAAGACCAGTCCAAGCCACAACCCGATCAATCGTGTCCAATCCTCCCAGCTCAGCGTCGGTGGGCAAGATTTGCCTTGCCATGCAACAAACCAGGAAATGACTGGGGCCCAATCACAGAACTCTGCAGGGACTCCACCGTGGACAAGCGGCGCGGGACGCAACAGCACCACACCGACAATGCCCCAGTCAAACAGCCACAAAGGAAGGCCACCAGAAGGAAGGCCTCCAAGAACATGGCTAAAAGACAAGGTGGTCCCTGATGATCTTGAGCCAAAATGGTGACCCAAGATCATCATTAACCCAACCACCAAACAGAACAACCTGACGTTTCCCTTCTTCATTTCATGAATCCACCAAAAACAAAACGTATCGTATGAAAACCATCCACTTGCTCATCACTCCGACCACGATTTGTTAGCTTCTAACGGTGAGCCTGCCGGTGAATACTGAAGGTCACCAATATTCGGACTCAACGCTGGCGCGTCCTTTCCGACATTCAAGATCCAAGTGGCCTTTGGTTCCTGAGCAGTGATGCTTTAATTGATGCTCAACGAAAGGCACTGCAAGGCGTCAAGCTCAAAAGCCTTCATCGACACACAGGGCATTGCTTGGGCAACGTGGGACTCGGGTCTGCTTGCAATCTGTCGCAAGTTTGGCAAAAGCCATTAAAAAAAGGATTTGTTGTTAGAGTTCACTATATAATACAATATGATAAAGTTATGTATAATATATATATATATACTTGGTGCTTTAGCAAACTCCATTGCGGAGCTGCCTTGCAAAGTCTCTTCACACTTCTTCTTCTTCTCCAGCTCCTGCGGCTGTTTCGTCCTGCTTCCAGTCGGTGCATATTCTTGTTTTGATGCCGCTTCGGTCGCAAGTTCCTTCCTTCACTACCTTTGGCACTGCGGCCCACCGCTCCCCCTTCGCCGTGATGGAAGAGCCACGCCTGCTGTGGAGCGAAGAAGGCGCCAGGGCTAATGTTCGAGGAAAGTCTCATCGCTTCTGATCCTCCAACCATCAATGGGCTGTGGCGCATAACGACTCCAAGTCGTCGTAACGCACGCACACAGCAAGCATGCCGCGCACTGCGACGTCCGTGGACCTTCGCCGCAAAGGGTCCATTCAGCTGTGTTCTTCGTGGAGTGAGATCGGGTGGTGAACATCCAAGGACATCTGGGCACCAAGGACAGCATTCACGAATAGATAGGATTGCAAGTCCATCTATTCTCTCTCACGTGCGTGCGCCCGACTTCAAGGACAAACGCATTCGCCTTCAGCAAGCGGTGGCATTGTGCAAACGTGATGATCAGATGATGGTCAGTGATCTTTACCCCCATGAAACATCTGATCATCTGATAGTCAAAAAAAAACAAATCCAAACACGTACGTATGGGACTGCGCGGGAGAACGTTTTCCGACTGGTTTATTTCGCAGTCTCGCCAAATCGCCACATCGGCCTGCATGATCTCCTCTTTGGTGATCCTCCCATCGTCGTCCTGTCGGTCTGGGAAGAAACTAAGAAACACCCTTGGTTATTTTGGGTCGGAAAGTATCTGTTTTCCTCAGAGTCCACTTTTTCTCACAAACTCTATGGCATTGAAGGGCATAGAGCCCCCTTCTTTGGCAGTCCATTCCCACATTTCATTTCAGCAACCGCAACCACCCTTCCAGGACGCTTCTCCTGGACATCAAAAGCTTTGAAGGCTGCAAAGAGCACGTCTTCCTGACCAGCACGGGAAGACGTGAAAACCCCAAATTCTACCTTCACCACCTGCACTACCACCACCACCAACAACAACAAAGCAGTCCTGGCTGACAAAAACACGACCAACAATCATAGAAACAAGCCTGAGCAAACTCGAGACCTTTGAAACTACAAGTAGCCCTCATACCCACAGAGTTCTTGAACAACTGAACGCAAACCACACCTTGATCTCATCCCAACGCCCAAACCGTGGGTCGTTTGCCCAAACCATCGTCGCCGAGCCCAAAGCGTCGCTGAGCCGGCCATCCCCGCCCGTCTCGCCTCCAGGGTGACCCGTTCGCCGATGCCTGCGGCGCAAAACTCGGTGTAATCGATGACACCAGAGCCATCCAGGTCCAGCCTGTGCGGAAAAATGGTACGTCTCAGATCAGACAGCAAAGACATTTGGCCACTCAGATCGATGAAAGCGTGTCGGCCTCCCTCCAAGACTTTGGGATGCCAAGAAGTATCTTTATCTTCGAGAACTATTCCATCTACAAAAAAGATACTAGACCCCAATCTTCAGCACGAATGAATCGCAGCAATAATTCTGACATCCAAACACACGGTGCTGCGTTGTTTGGATTTTCAGGAGGTCCCCCTCCCCCACATTCTCGACTGGAGCCAGCCACCTCTGAAAGACTTGCTCCACATCCTTCACCTGTTCGCTGTCTTTGCCTCACAACGCTTTGGGTTTCCAAAAGGGGACCAGCGTCCCGCATGACCCACAAAAGGGAGTTGCCAGTTGCCAACGCTTTTGGCCACCCATGTCAGCAATGAAGCTTTTGGAAGTCACAACATGGCGTGCAGTGCGGCATGCTCAAGGAAGTTGCTCTTCGTAGTTGCATGCAGTTGCTATGTTTCGATGCAATACAAAATGCACCTTGAGCACAAACTCGTTCATGCTCGTAGTCATGTCTTGTCGGTATGCCGCAGGTAGTCGATAAACAAGTGTAGAACAGACTACTACCAGCTATATGCCATCCTGCCTCTCACCAAGTTGGGGACATGGACATGTCTCTTTTAGTTCGAAAACTTACAAGCACTATGCGAAAACTGTTTGACTGTTCGATGAATTTGAGAACTTCTGAAATGCAAAGTGAAAACACTGAGGTGTTGGCCAAAAAACTTCTGAAAGCCTTCTTTGACCTTCGAAAGGCAACGTCAGAAGAGCCACCAACACTCTGAAACAGCATTGGAAAGTATTAGTGGTCGCATCCAAACATCCACCGCGGATGGTCCACAGTTCCAACTCTTGCTCTTGTTCCATTCAATGAAGTCCCTGACCCTCCAACCCTCACCTCGTGCAGCTCCAGCACACCATCCCCGTTGGTGTCCATCTCCGAAAACACCTGCTGACGTCCGGAAGGAGGCGTCCCGACCAAGGAGCGCGGTCGGGCGGTCGGGCGGTCGACGTTCCGAAGCAACCGGAGCTTCCCACAAACCGGTCGAGCGCCTTGTGAACATCTCTCAGGTTCCGGTGGTCCAGCTGTCGGGCAACCTCAACTCGTTGGTTGAAGCGGCGCACAGCTCGGCACAACGTGAGAAAGGGTAAAAAACACAAGTCCAAGCCGCCCCCGAGGTTCCGTTTGTTTCGAGACCTTCCCTGTGGCAAAGTGTGGCGATTGGTGCAAGCTTGCAGGAGCATCGAGGAGCATCGTCTTGCATAGGTGCCAGGTCAATGACCCTGTAGCAGAATCGCCTGTGTACGTCAAATAAAAGGAACCAAAAAGAACTTCTAAACCACCCTGGACCACCAGGACGAGAAACTCTTCACTCCCACGCCAGACGGACACGCAAGACGCACCCACGTCGTGGAACCCACTCGGACGGCGACGGAGGCCACGCAGAGGCTGAAGAACTGCGAGGTTCGACTGAACCTCGGAGGCGCCGCAGCAGGTGCGCAGCAGTTGCGCCACTTCGTGGCGGAACCGGGCACAACCGCGGAAGTCTTCGCAGGGCGGAAGGGGCCATGCAAGGGGCCGAAACTGTTTGTGAAACCAAGCATCTGGCTGACGCAGGTTGTTCAGTACCTGCCAAGGGGACGCCAACATTCAGGCACATCCTGAGACGTGGGTGTACGCCAGGTCGCTTTACAAGCCTGGTCACCTGCAAGTATCCCCTCAAACCCATCAGAACCCAAATCAGTCCGAGCCGCTCACATTGGCTCTGAACTTCCTGCGTACTCAAACAAATCAGGGTTTCACCGCTATGTCTCACCCCAAAAATCAGGAAACCCCGTGGAGCGCGTCGGTGGAATCCACCGTCTTTGCCCAGTGGAAATATCCAGTGTTTTGCCCACATGAAAAGGCCTCGGGCCTGACTGGCGATCCGCGTGTCCATGCCACCCGGAGTGTCCTGGAGCCTCACGACGGCCGACGGCGAAACGAAGCAGTGTCCTCGCTTGCCGTGTCTGACTGGGGCCCCTTCTCGGATGTGGAGAGATGAAGAACGGAACTTTCACATCCAAGAACGACGACACATCCCTAGACTTCACCTGTCCCTTTTGCCGTTCTGTCCACGGATAATGAGACACCCAGAGAGCATCTGGTGCGATGGACTCCGCCTGACCCAAGGGTTTCGCAGCACATCTTCCAGCTTCATCCTGCGGAGCAGCGCGGCGTTCGGCTTCCGGCCCAGGGTCATGTCGCACCTTTTTGGACGCCACTCAAGGGAACCAAACAATATGTGTATAAAGTTACACGTAATATTGTATTAACATATTATATACATATATATATACTGTATATATAAATATATATATATATATGTATATGTTATATGTATATATACTGTATATATCATCATGTCATATCATGAATCATGTCTAAAGATTCTTCAAGCAGTTGCAACCACTTGGAGTGCGGATGATGCCAGCTGACAATTTCCGGAGTCCTTTGCTTGGGATCAGCTCTGAGAAGGCCACGAATCAGCTCCTGACCAGTTGGAGACGCAAAGGCCGTTCAGACGCGCGGGTTGGTGAACATGTCTTGTTCACCGCCGAACATACACCAACCACTGTGACTGGTTGCTCAAAGTCTGAGCTGCATGTCCCCACATCCTGCCAGCGTGCGCCCGCCTTCGCCGGTCGAGAAATCTGCTGCCAAGTGCTATCGCTCATTGGAAAGGTCTCTCGCTTCATCCTGCGCAGCGGCGGAAGATCATGTCGAATGACGGAGAAAAAACAAAAACGACGGAAAGGAATAAACACATTTGCAAACTCCGAACCCTTCGAACTCCAATGCGGTCAAGACAAAGGCCTTTTTGCGCATGCCTTCGGATGGTCCGGCGGTCCTCCGGAGTTGATCGTTGTAGTTGCCCCAGAAGGGCGGCTTCCCACAGAGCATGACCTCACACCCGAAGCTGTCACGGGTCAAGCTGGAAGATGCCGTAAAAAGACCAATGCAATCCAAGACCAAGTCCCCAAAGAAACTCTGAGGCTCGGCATAGGTCACTACCCCCAGGCTCCATAGATCGCAAGCTGCCTTTGGGACACAGGCTGCATCCGATCCGAAGTGAGAAGTGGCGTGCGACATCCGACATCCGATTCTTCCGGTGTGTCGCACGCCGTTTCAGTCGCGCGTTGGGGCCAGAGCTGTGTAGCCCTGCTTCTCTTTCGCCTCCAAGACCTGTCCCATCAGACCGAAGTGGGCTCGAACGGCAACGAAAAACTAAGACCGTTCCGATTTTCGGTGTTGAACGGACTTGGATGGACACAGGTGAAGGAGATCAGCGAGAATGGCCATTTCGGTGTTGAGCGGGTTTTCCGACCACGTTCAGCCTCTGGAGCTGCATAGGTGAGGCTGCCAACCGCCGAATTCATTCGGCCCTGGACCAGGGACAATTCCACTAAGGGGCATCGCTAGCAGGTTGGAGGCCATTGCTACTAGGTTGAAGCCCATCACTAGCTTGGAGGCCATCACTACTAGGGGGAGGCCATCGCTAATAGAAACAAAGAAAAAGATAAGAAAGGTCTATATTCTATATAGATGGTTCCTGAATTCCTCAGGACTTACATCTTATGTGTTGGCTGTTGGAGGCCATCGCTATTGGGTGTCTCTATTCTGTTCCAACAAGTCTTTTGCTCTTTCTGATCATTCTCCGCGTACATTGGCCATGGGCCTGCTGTTACTGACCACAGTACGAATGCACAAAACGGAATCCGGAAATCTGCTGACACAGGAGTGGAAAAGATGTTAAGAAGAAATGTTTGCAGGCCTGGCCAAAGTAGAAGCCCAGGCCCCAGTCGATGAGCTGCATGCAGGTGTCACGGAAACACAGCCAAGAAGTGCAAAAGGAGCTTTGTCGCAGCTTTGTCGTTTTTCTTGGTCTACAGAAAGCCAACGTAGAGACTTTAAAGTTTAAAGGAAGGTGCACCTTGACGTGATTGTTGGTCACGTCTCTACTGCAAAAGCCTGGCGACTGCGCTGCTCCACTGTCCAAAAAACCTTCCTGGTCCGGTCACATCAATCTGCTGAGGAAAACATGCCATGTACGGCAGATGTTCTCTGGCTTCATATCACGATGCGCAATACCGCGATTGTGTGCATACCTGCCGACTTCAGGGTCCAATGCAGTAAGTGATCCAAACCGGGAGCTTTTCACATGAAAGGTGCGCACAGGAGCGCGCTCGCCGACTGCCGGACGATCTGCGCGGTGATTGACTCTTGGATCAGCCCTTGCCTTAGCGAAGGTCGGCGAATGCTGAGAAACCAATGTTCAGTGGAACCACGCGTGTCAACCCCCTATGGTCCAATGTCCCAAGCTCGCACCAAGCTTATTTAACCGAGGGTGAGGGGGACCATCAGACTCTTACTTCTCACAACCGTATCAATCCGGGATCAACTGTTATGTCAGCATCTTCCTAAGGGTCTTCCAGATTGCATTCAGTTGTCGGTTAGTCCATCGAGTTATCTCTCCCCATCGATCCCAGGTTCGCCCTTAACGGCATCCGCCTCGGCACTTCCACTCCGACCTGTCACAACCCGCTTTCCCAATGGCTCGAACAGGCGGCTCCATGATGCGGTCGAAGACCTCACGGCCCTCGCAGTACCTCGGCGAGGCTCGTCTGTTCGACGTTTGGTAAGCTCGATACGATACGATACGGCTGCCACATGAGCGGTACAGAAATTGGATTTGCCGTGTGGTGCTGTAAAGTTCTTGAATTTTACCAACTGGTTTTTAGATGGTGTTTATACTTATGTATAGAAGCATTGTCCAGCATGCTCCACTCCATTGTATATCTTAGATCCATATAATCTCCGTTGCTTTCTTCCTGCGGTCACTCGCATCCCAGACAAAAAGAGAGGTTCCATGTCTGGAAATTGGGATCGGTTGTCTGGACCTTATGGATCCTTTTGGTTTTTATCCTCTGAAGACAATCCAGCAAGGTCGTTAAGCAATCCTGATAGATAGAGAAGCCAGGTGTCCAGGACTTTCAGGAGTCGGAAGCACCTACGTCGAACTGAGAGCCTTGCTCCATCACGAAGAACATAAAGCCTTAGGGAGGGCGACTCTATGGAAGGCAAAACAAATCCGTGACACAGAACTCTTGGAGAACTTAAAGAACCTCTAGGGGTCAAAGTCTGAGAATGCAGAAGCTGGAGGCTTTGGCAAACTTGAACATCTGATACCCTTGCTGAAAGCTGGTTCCACAAATCTCTTAAGGTCGAGGCGGCCCTGCTCGTAAGTCTCCAAGAGCTTGCAAATGTTCGGATGGTCCAGGTCCTGTAGGAAGCACAAAGCAAAAGAGAAACTGTTCTTGGAGCTTTGATCATACAGTATAAAGAATGATAGTGGCGCTCTTGAGTTAGTTGAAAGCACAATGCACAAGAAAAGCATACAGGCAAATTCAATTAGTGTGTGGGAGAAACAGAGGAGAGAATGACAATAGAGAAGACACAAAATAAGTATCAACAGTCTGTAGCTTTGACTTTCATTCTTGTACAATTCAACCTTCTCGCAATGCCCTCCCGTACCCTGTCCTTCATGATCTGGGCCTCCTGGAGGAATGCCTTCTTCTTAGCATCCTCGAAAATAATGACCTTGCAGGCTAGGGCAGTGCTCACGCTTAATTATCATATCATAGGATGCAGGGAGTATAACATGCTGGAACCTGGACCTAGTGAGGGACACAGACCCTTGAGTCCGTAGAAGCAAGTGGGAGCACCTTCTTAATGGCAACCAGTCTGTCTTTCATGTTCCTGTCGCGGCCAATGAAGACCTGACTGCAAAAAGGTGCGAACAACTGAGTCTGAATTCTCTTCGTGCTGCATGAGGTTAGAAAGAAGCGGCACCTTACCATAGCCGCCAGATCCGATCTCATTCTTGTCGATGTCGTATCGCCTCGTGGAAATCATGGGATGTCGACAAACGGAGACAAGTGACCCATGACTGATGACCGAACTTTTGGATCGAAAAAAAAATAAACATCTGCACAGTGCACAGAACTGGGTCACCCATGTAAAACTAAAGAACAATTCTTCATTATCCTTAAAATAATACTGGAAGTGGATGGCATGGCCCCGAAAGAAAGACCATGAAATCCGAACACCAAACAGCTGGTGCCATCCACTTCCATGTTAGTTTAGTTAATTCCATTATTAAGGTTATTCCATGTCACTAGTAGCTTCTTGTTACTAGTAGCGATGCACCTGTTACTAGTAGCTTCTTGTTGTTCCATGAGCTCTTGAGACTTGCCCGACCTCGAGATCTCGGAGTTGACGCGTTTCGGCATAAATGCCTTCGCATCGAACTTCCTGGCGACGGAAGTTCGGCTCCGGGGAGATCGCACTGGAGCTGCCGGTCCCCACCTGGTCTCATCCATGGAGCTGGCCCGTCGTGACCTGTGAAGAGAAAGAAGGTGATAATTAATTCTGCATGGACGCAGTCAAAGGTTGGTTTGCATGAGTGCGCATGACAAGTTGGGACAAGCCTGTTTACAAACGATGCCCTACCCTGAAATTCATGCAGCGCTTCAGGCAAACCGCAGCAAAACAACTGTCAAACTAAAGCCAAATCATGCGTGCAGCTGGGCTGCAGGGCGCAACTTTTTACTCCGCTAATGATTAAGTCAGGCTGCAAGATCTTCCATCCATACCTCAACTGTTTGAACTTTTTTTCCTCTCATGCCTCCGCCGCCTCTTTGACTCTTTTGGCTCGGCCGCCTCTTCCTCCCCATCAGCCTTCTCTTCCTTCTCGCTTTTCTCGACCTTCTCGGCTTTCTCAGCCTTCTCGGCTCTGCGCCGTTTTCGTCCTTCACCATCCCCTTCCCCCTCCCCGCGCCGGTGCCGGTGCCGGCGCCGCCGGTGGGTGGGCGGCTCGGCGCCATCAAAGCCGGGAGGGGGACCTGGATCAAAGGGTGGCCTGTAGCCGAAACCCGGTGGAGGACCATCAAAGGGTGGCCTGGCAGGTGGTGGATGATAGTCAAAGGGTGGCCGAGGTGGCCGTCCATCGAAGCCAGGAGGTGGACCGGGAGCAAACTCGAAAGGAGGCCTTGGCCCTCTTCCTTCGAAGCCTGGTGGTGGGCCTGGACGGTACTCGAACGGAGGCCGGTGTCCCACAGGCAACGGTGGTGGGCCCATTTCCCCACCAGGAGGCAAGATTGGCGTGGTGACCCAACTATGTCGGCTCACAGCCAAATCAGCGGTGCAATCCACAGGCAGTGCGACCACAGTTTGTGGATCTCGCCCTTCCCGGCTGTCTGGCCATAAGGAGGACATGGGTCGACTAAACTTCTCCTCCACCACTGGCACCTTGGGTGGAGGCATCCGCTCATCTTGCTTGGCTAAGCGCCATTCCATCAGATTCAGATGGCACAGCTTCTGCATCTTTTCCGTGGGGCTTCCCGCCATGAGCAAAGGCTCCGGTTTGCCCGGCACATAGATGCAGCTAAGGCGCGTGTCATCCGGAAATGGCAAGCTAGAGATCGAAACCCAGGGCTTGTCTAGATCAGAAGGCACCTCGGCAGGGACCGACACAAGCCTTGCACAAGCTGGTTGTGACCCTTTGTAAAGTCCCCTGAAACTTAAACCATATGAAAACAACAACTAGTCAAGGTTTTCAGCACAGCTCACCTGGTAAACGGTAATCTCCCCAGATGCAATGGCAAAGAGGCAGGCCTCGAAGTCTGGACTTGGTGTCCTCGCCTTGGTGTAGACCATCAAAAGCCGCACCTTGGCCGGCAGTGCCGGAGCTTCGGAACAAGGAGTCCAAGCCACAGCAGGATCTTTGATGCGGAACACCGAGCAATGGCGCTCACCCTGCGCCTTGGGCTCCACGGCAATGATCGATGGTATCCGATCGGCTCCGTAAAACACGCAGAGCTTGGCAAAGCGACTCACCGGGAAGTCCTGCCGATCTCGGGGATCTTCGGGCAGGGTCGTCTCAAAGGCCACATTCCACGAGGCGCCCGGGTCAGGCACATGGAAGACCTTCAAGGTGCCGGACTCCCGGTCAATCGAAATCACAAAGAGGTGTTCATTGAAGGTGAAAGACTTATACTTGGCAGATGGGGATGAAGGGCCCGAGTTGGTGTGCAAGACTGGCCACTTCTCTAAAGGATTTTGCACTTCAGCGGCACAAACCTTGGTTTCTCCCGACTCGCGGTGGCGAAGAAGAACAAAAAGCTCACCACGAAGGCCCCATCTCAAAGGGATGACCTTCCACTCCCCATTGAACTTGCTCACATCCGGCCAAGGTTGCCATCTCAATTCTCGGCCACGCAAACTTGTGGCCTCCATGACTTTCTCGCGACTCATCTCGGAGCCATCGTCACCCTCCCGCCGCCGACGAGTAAGGATCACCGGAGCTTCCACGATGGGCTCTGGTGGAGGATGCATGTGGGGCATTGGAGGCCCATGCATATGAGGCGGCATAGGTGCATAGGGATGGCCATGGGGCCGTGGGTAATGCGGAAAGGGAGGCCAAGGTGGCCAACCCTTCCCCTTCCCTTTCCCTTTGCTTCGCTCCACAATCTCTCGATGGATTTCACCCAGCTGCTTCCCCCACAAATCAATGGCTTTCGTCACCTGGCTGAAGCCAAAAGACATCTTAATTTTGGGCTATTCAGGATTCTACTTCTTACATCTTCAGACTACTCTCTGCAACTACAGTGGACAGTGAACAAAAGGAAACAGTACGCACTGAATCTTCCACCAAATGACATTCTCCACCTCATCGGTCTCGTAATAGACGACCATATGCATCCGAGGGTCTTCGTCCACTTGGCCATAGGTCTTCATGTTGCGCCCCGTGAGCGTCACCTTGCGGAGGCCTGAAGCATCCTTCACCTCCAACATGGCTCGACCACGAGGGCCCATCAGCAACACGGCCATGTCGGCACCATAGACATTGCTCCGCCCATTGATGCACCGCTCGGACTCGGAGAAGCGCACCTGCAGCAGTTGCTTGTCCTCGTTGGGTGTCTCACCCCCGCAGGGGATCGAAGAGGCTGGCATGTTGTGGAGCTTGTTCTTGGCAAGGACAGCATGGTCATGCCGATTGAAGACCACATATGCCATGCCCTTGGGTTGCTTCTGGCGACGCAGGAGGAGAATCTCCTTCACATCAGTCGCCCCTAGCCTGTAAAGGTGCTCCCACAGATCGCGCTCGGCACAGACCTTTGGAAGGCCTTTGACAAAAATTTCCAGGTCGGTGGGCAAGCCATCCTCGTGCTCAGGAACATAGTTCGGTCTATAAGGCATCTCAACTTCATCGATGTAGACCTTCTCAGGAACCCAGCTGTCTTTCACAGGAGAGGGCTTTCGATCGAGCGGCACCAACGCACCTTCATCGGCATCGGCATCTCTTCGTCTTCGACCCTTGCCGGAGCTTTCCAGAACATCATCAATGGCCCGGATCGCTCTCTCAACATTGTCTCCTGTGCCAGTGATGGTCACACTGCGTTCCTTCGAATCCTTGTCATCCCTGTTGATCTCAATTCGAGCAGCCGAGTCCTTTTGAATCTTGGAGATTGTCTCTCCACCTCGGCCTATCAGGACACCAATCATATGCGTTGGCACCTTGATCACACGACTGGAACGAGCATTTCCACTGGGAACCCCATCTCCATCCCTTTCATCATCCTCCACTTTGACCCTCAGGCCCTCCCTGGACTTGCCCAACATCTCCTCCACCATCTTCTTGGCATACTCCACACACTCTGGAGGCCCAGTGATGTGGACTTGCCGATCTTGGGAGCCCTCATCATCTGGCTCTTTGTTGATATCAATCCGGGCGCCACTTTCCTTCTTCAACTCCTTGATGGTCTCTCCGCCCCTCCCAATGAGCATGCCAATGAGTTCATGAGGCACTTTCAGAGTGCAGGCATTCGGATTCACCTGGCCGGTTCTTTCCTTGGCCTTGTCAATGGCATCATCGATGAGCTTCTTGGCCTTGTCGACACAGTCCTGCAATCCACTGATGTAGACAGTACGCTCGCCTGCCTTGCCACCTTCAGTCTCTGTCTTGGAGATCTCAATTCTCGCCCCACTTTCCGTTGAGAGCTGTTTCACAACTTCTCCTCCTCGTCCAATGAGCATGCCCACAAACTCAGCACCGATAGTCATCACCACAGGCTTGGCTGCTACTGCTTGGCTTGGAGCCTTGGCATTTTGACCTGCCTTCGCACCAGGCAATGCGGCATTGGGCATTGGGCCGCTTGGCTGGAAGCTGGGAGGCACCAAAGGGAAGCCGGGTGCGCCAGGAACCAGTCCTGGTAGACCAAAAGGCATGCCAGGTACTAAGCCCATGCCAGGCATCATCATCAAAGGAGCTCCTGGGACAGGAAGAGCACCTGGCACAGGAAGATTTTCCGTCTTCTCATCCTCATCAGGCGCAGAGACCTCACTGACTTCGGACAAGGGGTTCATCACATCCTCTTGAGGTTCTGCCTTGGTGGGCGCCGCCTTGGGACCCGAGACCTCACTCACCGGGCTGCCGGCCTCCGGCTGACCTGCTGGGCTGCCAGCCTCCGGCTCGGCCTTCACGGCCACCTTGCTTCGGTCGGGCTTCTCCTCGATCTCCGTCTTCACGCGGGGCACCGGCAGCTTTTGCTTCTGGGCCGGCGCCTTCTGCAACGGCTCCGAAGCCGGAACCGCTTTCACCGGCACCTCACCACGGTAAACAGCACCATTCACCAGTGCAATTGCATCCTGGTATACAACCTTGTACTCACCATTGGAGGGGTTGCCATGAGGATTCCGCAGCCCTATCGCATCACCCTCCTGAAGGATGGTCCACTCACCCTTTTTGAGCGGCTTGCCATTCACAAAGGTGCCAAAGGTGGATGAATCCTTGATGAACACTCGCCTCATCACCTGGCGAGTGAAATCACAAAGTGTGTCAAAAGAAAAACAAATCAAAGTTTGGCCGAGAAAAATCACTGCCTGCACGCCCGCACCCGCCCGCACCCCTCCGGCCTCCCCATCCTGAGCGCCCTTGCGCTTGCACGACCGGAGGGTGAGCAGTGCATGATTCTTGGAGATCTTTTTGTCATTCAGAGGGATCTGATTGTTTTCAGCACGTCCAACTGACACTGAAGAGTTTACACTGCTGAAGACAATCAGCGGCGGCACAGTCTTCGGGGCACCATCGGTGCGGACCAGCACAGCCACAGGCTGGCTGTTTTCGTCCATTCCGCCCCAACGGGTGCTGAAAGGAAAGAGCAAATGAGTGGCTTTCTTTTTCTTCAAGGGGTTGGCTGAATTCACCAAGTTATTAAATAGGCGTTGCATGAAAACAAAGTTGTCAGTATTCAATGTCAGAAACTGCGCAACCCTGTCAATGCTCAGATATGCTTTTGTCTAGTTTAGTAAAAGTATTCTCTGTACTTTTGTTGGCTTGCTTGGTTTCGTCATGTCACAGTTCCAACAAAAGCCAACATGGCTGAACAGGACCTGAGATGAGCAGGCAAAGCTGAGTTCAGCAAAGAAAAGCTGGCTAAGCTAGCATTTCAACAGGTGAGAAAGTTGACTTCATTGCTCATTGTTGATGCTTGAATACTGTAACGCAAAGAAATGCTCTCGAAACCGGTGCATTCCACATCCTCAGAGATCTGAAGGTATCTGCTCCAACCTTCCAGTTGCATCACTGGCAGGAGACGAAGGATCCTGTAAACAAAAAGGCCGAAAGCATGTCAATTGAACGCTTGGTTGCTCGACTGGGGTCTTGTTTCTAAGTTTGTGAAGGCTCTTTTTGATAAGAAACAGCCAAACACAAGGAATAGGCCCCGACCACACTGAAGTTTACATGGCGGGTGCCCGGAAGCTTAGGGCTCGCCATCTCAGCTGTTCTGCGAAGTAGCATTAAAAAAGAAGAATCCAGTATACAGAATCTGCAAAGTAGCATGTTTAGCAAACATCAAAAGCAACAACATACATAATGCTCTTTTTCCATATTGCACTATGCCAAGACCTGGGCAACACTCCCTCTATATAAGTCTATATTCTCAAGAAACTCTGAAATTGTGTAGTTCTTCGTGGGATTCCTTCTTGACTTTGAAGCTTGCCATTGACAGCAATTGAAATCTTAACTTTGATAGGTATCTGATATCTATGAGCCTTTGGCATCATTGATCAACTCCGCACAAATCAAACACTACTTGATTCCAGCAAATGACATGTGTAGACATCCGTAAGGCCAATGGACACAAGAAACATGTTGACGCAGCTCTTTTGCCTCAAGTTCTGCTCTGAGAAGGTCCGGCGGGCTCAAAGATGTCTCGTCGTCTGGTTCAAACGACCACCGGCCTCCTGTCTGACTTGCACCTGACTGTCCAAAACCTCACTCTTCAGCCTCCTCCTCTTTGCTTTCATCCTTGCCTTCTTCCTTCTCCTCCTTTTCCTCCTTCTCCTCTTTTTCCTCAGCCTCCTCATCAGCTGCCTCAGCCTCCCTGGCCGCCTTTTTCTCCTCGATTTCTGCCAAGCCTTCCATGATGCGCCTCTTCTGCTCCTCTTTGGTCGCTTCCCACTCCTTCACCTTCACTTTGTAGTCCTCCAGCATCGCATCCAACTTCTCCAGAAGGAGTGGGACATCATCCGTGGAAAGGGGAGCATCCAGCTCAAGTTGCTTGAACAGGCTGAAGGTGTTGGCATTGTGCTTGATGGGCTTGGCAGCAGGCTCACTGCTGCTCTTGGCCTTGCTCTTGTTCTTTTTGTTCTTGGTGGGTGCAAAGTAGAACTCCTCGTCTCGGTCCTGGAAGAAATGCAACGACATGACGATGGAACGTCTTTGGTTCGAAGCTGAATGACAGAGACAACCTCTTTCCTCGGTCAACACTGTCTCTCATACCCTCAGCGTCCTCTTTCCGGAGGAGCACCTCAGAGCCCTCGGGGTTGTTGTGAACAACCTCCTTCTTCTCGTCCTCAACTCAAAATGGGAAATAATGGGAACCCAATGCATCGACACACAGAGGGAACAATGGGAACCCGATGGGTCAGTGGCATCATCTGGGTGTGATGCAGTAATCAGTGTTGACAAATAGAGCACAATGACAACAAACATCAGCCTTGGCAACCTTGGCCTTTTGTGCAATGGATGGAATTTCCCGGTCCTTCTTATCCTCGGTCTTCGTCTGCACCAGGTTCTTGCAGAAGAGGATGGTCTGCTCAATGAGGGTCATCTCCTGAAATGGTGACAACTTCCAAGGTTGGACGCATTTTCAGGAACTTGTGAGTTCAAAAAAGCATCCATGGCCCCAAGGAAGTTAGACATCACCACCACCCTGGATGCTTTTTCGCCTTTGCCCAGGACAATTTTGGTGTCGCCCTTGGCAGTGAACTACACCCTCCCCGGCCAACTCGGGCAAGGCTCGGAAATGTAGGGCTGGATGTCCAACTCCTTCGCCTGGCGCTCTTTGCGGCGGAGGTCGATCTCCTTCTGGCGCTCGGCCTTCTCGGCCATGATCTTCTCCTTCACAAGCTTTCATCGAAAACACCGACAACATTCGCTTGAGATGGTAGAGCTTTGGAACCCTGTCGCCGTCTTGATCTATTTGGCTGAGAATAGCAGGTTGACTTGATCAGCAACCCCTTCTGCTTTTCTGCCTATTGCTTCCAAAGAATGAAGATAGCACGGAAACTGGCATGGGTCGAGGTCAAAAAACATGCGGCACAACCCAGCTTGTTTCAAAGCAAACCTGTATTTCCCAAAACAACACCTGCCTGGCGAGCCTTCCTCTGCTCATCCTTGCGCCAGCCAAGGGGGCCAAGCGAAAAATGGAACGCCGGACTGTCTAAGATAGCCCTTTTCTGGAAGACGTGATCTTCTGTTTCGCGGGGAACGGGACAGAATCCAAGCGATTGCCAAGGCACGATGTAGGCTTTGTACTCGCGTTCCTTCTGGCGGAACTCGTCACGGATCTCGCTTTTCTCCTTGTACTTCTCCTGCCAACTGGGCCGGTCTACGACCAAGTGATGAGTCTTAATATGTCTTGATGAAGCACTCACTTTCCAAAAGGACATGCTTGACAAGGGTTGGAGTGTATCGGGGATTGTCAAAATTGACGTTTGGATAGGTAACAAAAAGGATACGGTGAGTGTCCCAATCAATATCCATCGACAAGTTACCCAATACATCAAACAAAATGCTCACTGGCACTTTGTTTCCCCTACAGCCCTGCACCCACGCGAAGTGCTGCGTCAACCAGCTGCCTGGATCTCACGGCCCAACGCATCACGCTTCTCAATGATGTCTGACATGTCACCCAGCTGCGCTTTGCGGCTCTCTTGCAACTCCGACATCTTTTCCTGCAGTCATGCTTGAAGACAACGCACACCGGCTCTGAGTGAGTGGTCTAAACACCTGAAAAAGGGAAAAAGAAAGAAACACACAGTGATTCAGTTCCAAAGGTGCCTGGATCTTTTTCTTCTCCTCACGGTACTGCTGCATCTCCTGATTGATGGCCGCCTTCTGCTCCTTCATGGACATGCCAGGATCAAAGGTCGCCAAGGTCCTGGACAGGAAGAGGTAAAGGCGTCGAAGGAAAGTGGTGCTGTGAGCAGTTAAGAGTAGAGATCTGGACTCTATTCTCTAGGTCTTCAATGGTCCAACAATCTTGAGGAATGTCAACACGTGTAAGCCAAGCCAAGAGTCTGTTCCATCTGCTGCACCGTGCTGACCTTGGAGCGGTTCTTCTTCAGCAGCGCAATCTCGGCCAACAGCTTCTTCTCTTCCTCTTCTCGACCATTGTTTGGACAATGCCTGTTGGTCAAACCTGTAAAAAAACATCCAAAGATTCAATTTATGGGAAGCACAATTGACTTGTCTTTTAGCCTTGAGGATTTTGCTCTTGAGGACATATTTCTACTCAATTTTGTCTTCCCAAGCAAGCTCCATTGTGTTGTTGCAGTCCTTGAGGGGAACCGACTCAGTGCAAAGCTGGAACTCAATGCTGGCGATGCGGTTGTCGATCTCTTGCTCGTTTTTGTAGCCGATGGTCTTCCTAGCACCATTGGGATCGATTGGTAGGCACTGCATAGTGCAAACACGGTGTTCCTATTGAGTGAAAAAAACGGATTGCGCACCAAAGGAAATCAGTCAGTGGGGTTCACGAGCCCGTGTCTTCTTTGAAGCTCAAGTGCAAAACCACTTGTAAATGAAGAGGACATGAAACAACAATGTAGTTGCTTTGGAGCTGGGCCTATCACTTTTACAGTTTCCGGCCAATCTTCTGCATTTCACGACCGCTCCTTGCTAAATTGGTCGGTGGTTTTGGATGCTTTGATGGATTGATCATCCCTTTCATGGTGCGAAAATGCGGCCACGGAAAAAGAAAAGCTAAAAGCTTGGCTTGGTGAGACGGTGATCATCCGAGCCGCTTCATCGTGTTCAGCTGCGAGCGCATCTCACGGCCCTCCTCACGCTTGCTGCCAACGGCCTTGTCGATGTCCTCCTTCTTGGCCTGGCCAAAGAGCCAACGGATGGACGGGGAAGCAACCGATGGACACGGGATTGAACCTAATCGCAATGGCCTCCAACCTAATAGCGATGGCCTCCAGATGGTTTCTCCAAACACATGACAGCGTTTGTTTTTCTCAGCTTTGGAGTTGGCAATGGTTTTTGGGCATCGGAGTTCTAGGATGACCCAGGATGACCCCACCCCATTCACACTCGCACGGTCTTGAAGATGTATATCATGACCCTGGTTCAACAGTGGTTCGAGAAGAGAGGTCAACTCATATAGCTGACTGCAAAGGAGAAAGCACTGCCTGCTCTGCTCTACCAAACCACTCAAATGCTCCCCACTCTTGTCCAAAATCACCTCTCCAATCACCTCTCCTATGTGACCAATGACACTTGGCTTTAACTCTCCAGCACACGGAGACGGGTGTCGACGTGTCAAGAAAATAGTGAGTGCAAACAGAGTATACAAAATTGCAAAAATATACCTGTGCATGTGCTTGGGCTTGTTTCGAAGCACTGCAAATCATGCCCAACATAGCCACTCGACGGCAAATGCAGCACCCCAAATAGGTGAAACACGGGCGCCGATCGAATCGTCGGCGCCTGCAGTTCATCCATCTTCGCAGTGAACTCATCCAGCTGTGTGCGTAGCTCGGTCTTCTTGGCATAGAACTCCTCCTTTCCACTGGAACGCTGCTGGATTTTCTCGGTTAAGTCCTCGAGACACCGCGAAATGTGTCCAGTGTGCAATCATCAATGGAGGTGCAGACAACTCACAATAGAGAATCATCATCCTAGCCCACACCACCAGCTCCTTCTGCTTCTTGGTCAGCTTGTCAATCTCGTCCTGAACCTTCTGGACCTAGTCAAGAGCACCAACGAAGCAGAGCTGGGACCACGTGCCATAGTCCAGCCCACGGAACGAGACTTGACACGATTCACACAGTAGCGTCCTTGCTCCTAGTAGCGATGCCAGGAGCCCCTACTAGCGTCCTTGCTCCTAGTAGTACGGCCAGGGGCCCCTACTAGCGCCCTTGTTCCTAGTAGCGATCATCTAGCAGATTGAACAGGCCCACCTTGGCATCGTGCTCGGCCTTATCAGGCTGGGGCACCTTGTTCTTCTCCTCCTCTGGCGCCTCCTCCTTCTTCGCCTTTAAAGAACTGGACAGCCAAACTTCATGAACAATTAGGTTTTTGTTACTGATTTTATGACTCTGTGATATGCCTGGCTCCCGCCTTGGCCTTTCCCTTTGCCTTCGCGTCAGCTTTTGCCTTGGGTTTGGCCTCAGCCTTTGGCGCGGTTTTGGGAGCCATGGGAATCAAGTCAGGTGCGTCAGCAGTCGTCTTGAGGCTTCTCAGCTTCCTCTGGAGTCTCCAATCGAAATGAAATCAAGCTGAAAAACGGCAAAGAATACAGTTCGAGAACGTGAACCCAGGACTGCTGATTTGGGGTGAATGATCAAGAAACACAACCCTGCATCTAATATCTGCGATCAACCTTGGCGAATTCAACAAAAATCCTATTTAATAGAGGGTTGTGCCACAACTCCATTTTAGACACAACGAAACAGCAAACATTGAAAATTGAAGACTGCTTTTGCGGTGGCCAATTTCTATGCTTCAACGAACAAGACCAGCCTATCTATGGACACATACCATGTATTTGTTGTTTGCTCATCTTTTGCATATTCCTGCCTTTAGGAGCACGGCTATTCAATGAATCATTCAAACAAATTATGTGTTTCCTGTTGCTTCTGCCAAATTTTGCTAGACAGTGAATAACCCCGTTGGCAAACCATCCCAAGTGCCTGTTGCAAGGTGAGAACGCATTCCAGCAACAAATTGGTCGAGTTGTCCAGCCGTGTCCGTGGAAAGTGGGATTTCCAATGTCCAAGAACGATGCAACATGGAACAGCGTTGAAGGATACTCAACAGACCACCCGCCACAAATTCACTGACCCAGCGAATCGATCAACATCCAGCTGTTCCCTCACCAAAGACTGATGATGCGGTGGAACAAAAAATGTTAAAAATGCAACCCTCAATTTTGGCATCACCGGCATCATCATAACTATGTCAAAAAAGTGCGCGTTGAATATTGCTATTTTTTACCCGTTTCCCTTGTCTTTTTACTTGACTCTCTCGACACCTCCAATCCTCATCGCGACAGGTCTTCTCTCAGACAATTTTTTGAAATCATGTGTTTTTTCCCACGTTTGAAAGTTTTTTTTAACAAACAACCGCGCTTTCGTTTTGGCAACCAAACTCTAATTTTCCCGCAGGACTTCTGGCAAACAAAAAGAATGATTCGACAAAGTAGAACTGCATAAAACAAACATCACCCAATTCAGACGTGACACGGCCTGTTCCACCACCCACTTCTGTGGCAACTGCGAATCCAAGACCCTCAGACTATCAAACAAACAGACCTCAAGACGCAGCTCACCCGAAGCGAACGCACGCCGCACGCCCTGAAAAGGCAACCAAAAGGCCTAAATGGACAGGGACAAAATGCTGACTCCAAACCGGAGAAAACACAACCTGTAAGAAGAAAGAAACAATTTTTTTGAGGTCGAACGGAAGAACTCCCAGCTCCTTGACTTGCCCAGACGAGCGCAAAAACAAATGCCTGGCCTTGAACAGATTTCAAGCGCAAAAGAAGACATGTCTGGCTCGAATTTCATCGTTTTCTGACGATTCGGTTGAAACACTTTCTCAGTTGACTTGGCACATGGAGTTTTGATGTGTGATTGTCAAGGTGAAAGTTGAAATCCGCAACACGCCGCTCCAAGCAACTGAAGTGGACTGATGACAGGCGGTGATGGGTCCGGAAATTTTCAGAGTCTGAGCCACCCGCATTTTTCAAAGCCATTTCTGGCTTCTGGGTTGGTCGGCTTGAACGAACAAAGTAAAACTGTATTCAACTTTGACACGCCAACTTTGGCTTAAAAATGCGAGTTTTTTGCGCCGAAATGGGTTGCGCTGCCGCGTCTGCGGCTGATTGGCGGAGTCCAATCATCGAGGCTGGAGCGCTGATGAGCATGCCACGCTCTGCCGCCTTGCATTCCAGAACACTGTTGCAATGAGCGATTGAAGAAATTTTTTCTGAAGAACTTCCAGTCTTCGGCGCTGTTTGGACAATTCAAAAAGTGATCTTCCGAGTTGCAAGAAACAACCAACCTTTTGAAGATCAGCAAATTTCTTCTTTTGCCGCTGAGATCTGCTGCGACGATGCAAAGTTCCAAAAAAGAAACTGGCGAGGCCCTCCGCAGCTAGATTCGCCAGGGTTTTTGGACCCCAAAATGAAGGCCACTAGTTCACTCAAAAGTGCAATTTATCTTTGGACAAATCAATGGCCAAGCCCTCCAAGCATTTGTCAAGAATGGTTGAGCGCGAAGAAAACTTGGAATGCCTTGACGCAAGTGTGGAGCGCCCCGCTTTGAAGAAGCACCGGGACTTCAACGTTAAGGTTGGGTTTCGTGGGTTTCTGTTGGTCTTTGTGTTTTCTTGGAACTTCCTTTCTCCGACCGAATTAAAATTTTGTGAAACGCAATCGGCGTGTCGGTATTGTGATGGAAGGAGGCCCAAGCGGTGAATCTCCTGGAAAGGAAACCAAAAAGCAGCAACACAAAACAAGCGCCACACAAACAACCCCACGAAAAATCACGAAAGGAGATCACTGCTTCTTTGCGGTTGGGCAACGAATTCAGGCAAGATTTTTTGCACGGGTGGAGACGCCATGTGTGCAGAGATTGCACAGGTCATCTTGCGCTAGTTAAGAGAGAGTTACGAGCCAGGTTGCAAAAGCAAAGAACCACCAACAAAAACCAGAACCAATAAACAACCAACCAAAACCAAGCAAACCACGAAGTAACCTGGCATGTAACTCAAGAAGGTCGCGTAGTGCGAAAGCGCGGAGGAACCGCGCAGGCGAAATTGGGCTCTTTTCTCGAAACTGAAAAAGGGCTGCGGTAGCTCAGGCTCAAGCCCCTAGGTCTTTACAAACAACTGTACATGTGAAACATCACGTATCACTACACCCCCCTTAAAGGCTAGGGGCGGTCACCCGGCGGTGCTACCCGCTCGGGCAACCGTGCGCCTGCGCCCTGGCGGGGCTCCCCGCTCAAGATTCAGCGTCGGTAGCCGCAGCCCCCCTTCACTTCCACCGACGCAAAACGCTGC